ATATATATATATAGAGAGAGAGAGAGAGAGAGAGAGAGAGATACAAATACATGTTTGTCTGTATACATACATACACGCACACACACACAAACATATGCATATATATATATATGTGTGTATGTGTGTGTGTGTGTGTGTCAGCGTTTATATATTGGTATATCTATACATAGCATTACAACATCTGTCACCCACTTCAGCTGATGCGAGATGTCTCTTGGCGGCGACTTCGACGCTTTGCTCTCCGAGATTGGCTTCGGACGCTGGCAGATTTCCGTCGTTCTGGCGACAGTGCTCAGTAAGTCATTCACTGTGTTTGTAGCATGTACGTATGTACGTACACATAAACACTGTCTATATTTATAATTTCTCGCATCGTCAAAGGTAACTATTAGTACTTGTCGCGGTTAAAAATGCACAGAGTTTTACAGGAACAAAGTTAACAGTAGGTAATAAGAGTGATAGCAGGACGAGGTTAAAAGTAACAGGACATGATAGTGAGTGACATTTACCTTTTCCGACCCGCCAGCATCCGGGGGTAACTCAAGCTTTCTTAAAACTGGGCGTTCTATTTGGGCGCCAAATAGTCTGAAGGCCTACAGTATTATGCCATCTTGATAACAGAGCCTGGAATAGATTAGACTATCAAAAACGTTGGGCAACTTGGCCAAGAAAACTCATAATATTCAAAAGTATAAAAAAAAAACGATCAAAAGATCTGGTAATGGGAAAGAAACATGCCCAGAAATCTTCAAAAATGTACCCTAAAACTAGTGCTTTCCCAGGACGGTATACGGAAGTTACCCCCTGGTTACTTGCAACACCGGCTGAATCTTTCCTCAACTTGTAACGTATATTTCTCTACCACTTCAGCGGCGAATCAGCTGGCTGTTCATATGCTGGGTTCGACCCTCCTAAGTGGTCCGCTGCAGTTCCGGTGTTCACCTGTGAACGGAACTAGTATAGCAACGTCCAGGTGAGTGAACGAAATTCATTGTGACAAGCGTAGAAAACAGTATGAATGATACCGGATAACTTCATACAGCAAGAGGTGCATTGGATTCGTTTCGATTATATCTTCATCAGAAATATGGGAAAATATAATTAAAACGCATCAAGTACTTCTCTTGTGCTATATAGTTGATGAATAATACTTTTAACAGAGTCCTTTAGTTAGTGGAAGTAGTGAAATCTCACCCACTCACTCAATAACCGATTTATCTCCAGTTCAACATACTACAATAATGAGTGTCTGCTTCCGACCAAACTTCAGTACGAGCCAGCTGACTCTGTTGGCCAAGTTGTCAACGCCAGCGCCCAGTATTTTCCTGGGGAATCGAAGCAAGAGTTAACTCACATGACGTCATGTCCGCTGATCGAATATGACAGATCCATATTTACGACAACCATCATTTCTGAAGTAAGTGTTTTGAGAACCTCAGTGATATATAATGTAATGATAATATAAGCATCACTAGATATAACAAAGACTGTTGTGGCACTCAAATGAATAAATATGGGGAAAAGTTTAAGTCGAAACGGGAGACTAGAGACATGCTTCATATGTGATTTTCGGTGTGTATTAAACGTTATTTGATATATAATTCTCTCGGAAACCCCATCGAACTTCAATTTTGATTGATAGTCACTAGACAAATATTTATTTCCTTTAGCTGAGGTGCACTACTTTGAAAAGAGCCCTCAAAAAATACCCGACGTTCAATTTTGTCTATAGTTAGAAATATTGTTTTTTTTAGCATTCGTTAGAATTTAGCCACGGATTATATTATATTTCGTATATAACGAGCAGCTTGTACCATTTTCACAGTGGCATTTGGTGTGTGATCAAGCCTCCCTGCAGCCGCTGTACCAGATGGTGTACAACGTCGGCAGCATCATTGGGAGTTTAACATGCGGCCCCCTAGGAGATAAGTAAGAAAATAATTTATATAGTAGTATGTTAAGGGAAAAAAAGGTTGAAAATGGCTGAAAAGAATCGAAGTATTTAGAAATTACCTGTGTATTTGATTATTTAAAAAATGATAGGATACCCTTTCAAATTTGATATTTCATATGCGTATAGATCGTGTTATCACCAATTAACTTAAGAGGTATGTACCTCATCAGAAAATCCTTCAGGAAATCTATAGCCACTTGATCATTTCCAAGAAACAGCCCAACGAGAGTCAATTTCCGTGTGTTTATTTGGCAAGGCTTGGGCGCCGAAGAGCTGTGCAGATCGGGAGTGTGTTCTACGCCGCCGCCATCCTGGTAATGGGCTTCACGTCCTCTTACCCGACCGTGCTGGCCATGCGCTGCGTGGTGGGCGTCGCAGCGCAGTGCATGATCCAGCCTTCGTGGAGCCTCGGTGAGAACGTTATGGAAGTCTAGAAGATAAATGGTGTACGTTCTTAAGTGTGTGTGTGTGTGTGTGTATGTGTGTGTGTGTGTGTGTGTGAATATACATATTAATCTTGCAGTGATAAGAACTAGACCATGTGCT